CAAGTTAATAGACAAGTGTTATACCTCTTGAAGCCAAGCACAATTTTAGTACAAATACAAGTCAAAACCACCTTCTAAAGCTCCAAGAAGGCTTCAAGGGACCTCAGCTCAAAGGTGATCAAGTTTGGTTAAGGAAGTGTATGCAAAAGTATAGTATAACTAGGCAAGTGTGCACAAAATTGCAAGAGAGAGAGAGAAATCTAGAGAGAGAGAATTTTGTTCAAAAATTTCTAACCCTAAAAAATGGGGGAGGACACCCCATATATATAGAAAACATGAAATTTATACAAGGAGATCCAGCCCTCCACGTGTGGACAGATGCATGCATCTGTGCAAACAGTTGGCACAACTGCCATAAAATATTTACAGAAAACACTAGTGGCTGGCCGTGGCAGGTAGACAAGAAGCTCTGGCCGGCAGCCTCCATGGATGGCCGACAGGTCACCAGAAGTCGCAAGCTGGAAAGACCAAGGCATGGTCCAAAAATGAGATAAAATGGATGCAGGGTTTGAAAGGCTCAAAGCTGTGGCGTTCCACTAAGGACTTCGAGCGCTCGGCGAGCAATCAAACTCGTCATCGGATGTACCTGCAATAACATCCAAGTCTTGATGAGCCGTAAAAAATGGGGTGTCTACAATAGCCCCTCTTTGACAAAACTCGGAGTCATGAAATGACATGTGTGAATGTCAAAGCCCAGAGATGACCCATTTGACAAGGCTGTAAGACTTGGACAAATAATCAAGACAGAAAACAAAATGGTTGTACCCGCAGGCTGCCTATGTATCCCTTTGCAAGGAATCAAACCAACGTAGTTCTGGGGCAAAATGCAAGTGATATGCAAGATGTAAGAACATAACTTATGATCATGCAATGAGGCTGTGCAATGAAACATTTTAAATGCAAATACTATGCAAAGAAAATGCTACAGTTAAACAAACTGAAACAAGGCACAGTAATTCCAAACATGAAAAGAAAACCACTTAGCAAGAGCGAGAAACATAAACCTAAACTACATTTCAATGCAGAAAGGATGTAAGAAAATTATGCCAGCTTAACTACGCGACGCGCAGGGAAGGTGAAGGGCAACGTAACCGTTGGGCACACCTAAGGTCTTAACCGAGGGTCAAACGCGTTGCACGCGAAAGAAGAAAGAATGGTGTGAACATCGGGCGCACCCGAATGTTTTTTAATCGAAGGGTGGTGTGAACACCGGGACGCACCAGAATGTTTTTAACCGAAGGGAATGGTGTGAACACTGGGACGCACCCAAATGTTTTTAACTGAAGGGGTTGGTGTGAACACCGGGACACACCCGAATGTTTTTAACCAAAGGGAGTGGTGTGAACATCGGGACGCACCCGAATGTTTTTAACTGAAGGGGTTTGGTGTGAACACCGGGATGCACCCGAATGTTTTTAACCGAAAGGAGTGGTGTGAACACCGGGACGCACCCTTATGTTTTTAACCAAAGGGAGTTGGTGTGAACACCGGGACGCACCAGAATGTTTTTAACCAAAGGGAGTTGGTGTGAACACTGGGACGCACCTGAATGTTTTTAACTGAAGAGGTTTGGTGTGAACACCGGGACGCACCCAAATATTTTTAACCGAATGAGGGTAAAAGGATGTGATTCGAAGGACACAAATAATTTTACCTAGAACTCCTCTGAATGAACCGTACATACAATATCGTGCATGTGTAGGAAAGAAGACTTAACAAGTGTGATATAGTAGGAATGCATGTTTCATGCAATACATATAACCGAGATACAATGTTAATGGCATGTTCTACGCGAGAAACAAAAGCATAAGCATATTCTATGCATGATTGGTAACAGAAGCATATTCTATGCATAAAACAAGAGCAAATGCATATTCCATGCATGATTTAATAGCGAATGCAAGACGTGCATGCAATTCCCATGAGATGCATATCTTACAACAACATATGTGACATGCGTATTCTATGCCACAAAGTGAAGTGCATGTTCTATGCAACAACGAATAAGAAATGTGTATTCTCTGGAAGATATCAAAACATGATTTGACGAGAACAAACTCAAAGGCAACTTCCGATTCACCTCTCGAAAGAATTACAATGTATTTAAAGAATACACCTCGTTCACATTGACAAGTGACAAACATCGCGCACCGAAAACACAGTTTTGAGCTTCCGCAGGCACATTCTGAACCAAATAGTGAACAATCCCTTCAATTCTTGGAAACCAAGGACATAAAACAGCATCAAGAACCCAAGGAAAGCTGTCGGCCACCTGCCGGCCATGAGGGAGGGTCGCCGGCTAGGTGCCGGCCAACAATAAGCCTTGCCGACGATCGATGAGCCTTGTCGGCCATCGATGGCAGATCGGGGGTAAATTGGACTTTTCGGTTTGGGTCTTTAAATATGAGCCACTAGGGCTCATTTCCTCACATCCCTTTGTCCGAAAATCATCTCCTTCTCTCTAAACACCCCTTCTCTCTAGATTTGTATTTTCTACGCGTTTTCCAACACCCCACTCAAATTTGATTCACTAAATCCTCTTTATTCTATTCACTTTGAACCAATTAAAACTTCATTTCGGTGCTTCTTTCCTTATTTCCACCATTCTAGGCTCATTTCCCTCGAGTTTCTCTCGAGTTTTGTGCACTTTTCCCGGCCTTGACTTTTTCCTCCACTTTCTCTCTTAGGGTTTGACTTTTTCCAAGTTTGCCCTTTTTCTTCACTTTTCATCCATTTCGTACGTATTTTTAGATAGCGGATGAGGCTCCTCATGACGGAGCTCCTCCGGAGGTTACCCCAGTAATTTCACTTATGCTGGAGGTAGAGGAGCCACTAGCTGACCTTGAGACTAACTTGGAGGCAGAGTTTGAGCCCTAGGCCAAGCCAGAGCCGCTACCACTAAGGGTACGGCCCTTCGATCCGGCGAGATACCACCCATAGACACACATACTGCACACTTCCGGAGGCATCAGACACTTCACTAAGTTCGCACGCGGCGCACTGGAAGAACTTTTGCTGAGGGAGCCAGATTCTCACTTGTCGGCCATTGCCATTGAGGTATATACTCTGTTTTTATGCATTTCTGCCTTTAGTTATTTGCATTGCCTACATTACCTTGTATCGGAGCCACCTGACTGCATTTAATACACTACCTTCTTCATCTGATTGCATTTCATGCACTGTCTTCATCTTATTGTGCACTTGCTCTCTGCTACAGGGTGAGTCTTGCGCCTTCAGAGGCTATGGTGCTATGACCGCTAGAGACTGGTATGACGAGCTCCCAGTTGGAGTTCGAGACATCATCGACGAAGCGGGCTTTGGCCTCTTCTGCTCTAGCTTGACCTGGGTCACCGCAAGCCGACCCCTCCTGGAAGCACTGGTAGAGAGGTGGTGGGATACCACCAACTCCTTCCACTTTTCCACCGCTGGAGAGATGACGATGACTCCTTACGACTTTGCCGTGATCACTGGCTTAGATGTAAGGAGCGATCCGATCCCTATCAATACAGATATAGAGGAGTGGGAGGCAGCCTGGTTCGAGCTGCTGGGGGCATACCCACCTATGCACCGGAAAGGATGGTCAGATACACTTGGTTCGCTGAGTGATTCAGAGGGATCGAGCCTGAGCCGATAGAAGAGATTGAGCAGTATGCCAGGGGCTTCCTAATGTTCGTCTGTGGTACCACCTTGTTTTCGAACAAGTGGAATACCGTAGGCCTGCATTTGCTGAGTGCCCTAGTGACCCTTCCTTAGGTTTGTTTTTACGATTAGGGCGGAGCCGGCCTCACCACTCTATGCGGCTACATGAGTTCGACCTCCCGTAGGAGGGAAGACTTGATTGGAGGCTACTGGCGTGCCTGGGAGGTACACATCTCTGTTCTCTCTTTTAGTACCTTATAAGTTCTTCACAGTTTCTACTCTACATCTATTTCAACACATGCTTTCTACTTCACATGTCTATATCTGCTTAGACACTGTATACTTTCTGCTTTGCATTTCTATATCTGCTCAAGAACTATTTATACACTGTGCTTTTTTGTTTTATACTTTTTGCATGTACTCAAAAACTGTTCATACTTTATGCCTTCTGTTTTGCATTTTCTACATCTGCTCAAAAACTAAACTGATCGCATATCATTGCATTTTCCTTACAGCTATGGCTATATGCATATTTTCCGACTCTCGCCCCGAAGCCTGTAAAGGAGCTTCCGTTGATAGTCCCCTATTCGCTGGTGTATAACGGTCAGTTTCGCTATAGAACCCGCGAGGCTTTCACATTCTTTAGGCGGTACTTTGACACAGTAGTTGCCCGTGAGGTAATCCGAAACACAGTCATTTTTTCTTTGAAACTGTTCATTTAGTAATTGACAGTAACTAAGTAATCTGTACAACTTCTGTTTACAGATTACATGGCAGCTATGGGCCATAATGCCAACGAGGATTCGGGGTTAGTATACTGGAGCTTGGGCCATCTCCCGCAACCGCATTCTACTCGAGGGCCCAGTTTGTCGAGCCAGGTTCTTGGGCGAGCATTTCATGTGCCAGATTATGGGCCTGCCTGACCCGATCGTCCCGATGGCTCCACCAGAGTCCATGCGGTTCACAGAGAGCCTATTTGTTGAGGATGTTATCCAATTCATGGTGGGACTTGACACCGACTTCTTCCGAGTGGAGGGCTACTATGTAACTTTTATCCTAACACATCTAATGCCGTCCCTGACCGGTATTCATGGAGATAGGGAGGCGGGGGCTCCCGCTGCAAGAGCAAGGCGTAGAGTTACCTGAGCAAGCAGGGCCCATGCAAAGAGGCTTCCTGAGCGGAGCAGAGGGCTGATTGGCCAGAGCTTCCCACTGCGCTGACTTCCTGGCAACACACCGAGGATGCCTACCAGATCCCGATTAAGCCCGTAGCGGCTGGTCATGACCTTGTTGGGATTCGAGGCCCCGACTCAGGTATGAACCACACTTTACATTTGCACCCCATACTTCATTTTAGATATGTTCGTTTGTAGATATTGATCATTCAAAATGCATTTGCAGGCATCCATCGAGTATACGGGAGGTGCTTTTGAGCTGATAGCCTCCCTGATGGGGATGGTACATAGGAGAAAAGCGTTGTTCAGCCTTTACGATATTCAGGTAATTTCTTTAGTTTTTCATTTCAGGCATCAAAGTTCCACTAACACATTGACATTGACATCTCAACTGAAAATTTCTCAAACTACACTGACACGCTGCATTAATACACCGCATCTGACACTCTGCATTCATACGTTATATTCACATACTATATTCACACACTGTATCTGACTTCTGCATATACTCATTCTGCACATCATACTTGCATCTGATATGCATACTGTGGCTGACATGTGACAAATGTGTTTTCAGATTCCATCCATACCGATGGCACCAGCGGCAGCTGCAGCACTTGTACCGGTACCAACAGTACCTCATCTGGCAGTAGGGAGGAGAGAGAGACAGGCTCCAATACACAGCCAAGGCAGAGCTAGGGGCACCCGAGCCGAGAATAGCCTTTCAGAGCCCATTCTGAGTGATGATGATGCCGAGACGAGCGACTTTGAGGAGGCAGCGAGTCAGCATTCAGAGTCATCTGAGAGTGGAGGTGATGATACTGGCTTGGGTTCCGAAAGTGAAGGCGATGCTGAGGCGAGCTCTAAGACATTGAGCGGAGACGACATTGGCTCGGGTTCCGGTCCAGGTTCAAATAGTGGTGCCGACAGAGACAGTGCCCTAAAGTCCTCTCCTCCGAGGAAGAGGACAAAGAGGGCCTCTCGAGCCTGAGGCAACCAACGCTGATTGTTTTGTGTTTTGCTTAGTTTCTTTTTGCTAGTAGCATTAGCACATGTATAGCTGTAGGAAGTTCTATTTGCTTTAAAAACTTGTAACCCACTTTTGTAAAAACAACCATGATCGAAATGAAAAACCAGCTCTTTTTGAAAAAAGTGTTGTATTTTGCATCATGAGCACCACTTAACATGGAGATTGAATTTGATAATGAAACTAAACAATTGTATTGGCACAACAGTCTTAATCAGGTAATGAACCGACCAACAACTAAAATAAAAAGCAATATATAACTCGATAAACAAATCAACATACAACTTGATAAACAAAACAACTTAACAAAGATAAAAACTCAACAAACTTGCTAAAAACCAGAAAGACTCAAAACAAGACCTCAAAACACATAAAAAGTAAAACAAACACATGCTTTCAGCATTGTTCAGCATAAAGGAGGACAGTAGGTCAAAGTGAGAGACTGTCAGCCACAAATTGGGGTTGCCGGCCATATGCCGGCCATGAGAGGTGGCCGTCCTTTGCCGGCCATTAATATGGCTTGCCGGCTACCTACTGACCATCAATGTGCAAGACCTCCAGGTTCTTGACATCTGACTTCCACTCACTGCCTTATCTTCTGCAAAAGGTTTAAGCTTCGTGGTTTCTTCAATTCAGCTGCAAATTCTTTACAAATAGAACCATTTTTCGCCGAAAAACTCTCAAATTGGATTGCAACTTTAGATGGCTTGGAAAAGGTGAATTTCTAGGGTTTCGGCATAAATGCACTTTTCCCACTGAGCCGTTCTCCATTTTGTTTTCCGTTCCTTCATGTCGCGGCTAGATGTTGAAACCCGATTACATATGTCTTTAGCTTCGGAGGACAAGAGATATGCCTGACAATCGAAGAATTTCAAGCGTTAATGGAATCCTGGTGCGATGAGGAAATCACACCTCAGCCCTGTTTCGGCCACATCTAAGCTTTGGGACGGATGTGCGGGCTTACTTTACATGAGGCTCGATCCTTGGTCCATAATGGAGAGTTGGATATTGCCAGCCTGATTCATCGATTTTCTGAGGTCGGTGACTAAGGTAATCTTTTTTGGCGGGGTTTTCAGCAACACGCCCTTTGCTTGTTATGCTGGCACATTTCCTCTTTGTCCCTAGCTTTGGTAGATCTAGCATTTGGCTAGTTGAAGTGGCCCAGGGTTTGAAAGAGGGCAAGAGTTGCATCGGCTTGGTACTGGCCGAGACTTTGATGGGCTTAGACATCTTCCATCTGCAAGAGACAAGCAAATTTACAGGGAGTCCACTACTCCTTCTGGCAAATGTTTCCCACCCTTTCTAATATGTGTTTCTTACATCACTTGGCACTCATGCTTTGTTTTTCTCTCAAAGCCCTTTTCTCACTTTTCTCGCAACATACATCTCTCTATTCTTTAATCTCTCTTTTCTTTCATCCCTTTCCAGGTGTGGCTAATGGACAAGCTGAAGGTAGTGGACTTATGCCCTACATACTCAGCTCGAGCATACTTTTCCACCAACAGCTAGTGGATTTCCCCAACGAGGGATGGTGGTGCCATTGGATGTACAACAGGTCTGCTGTTGACATTGCTTAGTGTTGCCCCTGGCTTAATCTGACCGAAAGGAGCTATAGCATGACTCGGCAACCTGGCATTTAGCTGATTAGCCTGACACACTGTGTATTCTACTTTTCATTCCGGTTCAAGTGTCAGTTTGGACATGATCAGACTTGCCCAGAGGAGGGGGTAGAGTACCCAATTTAATTCCCCGTCTGAGGTTCACATTTGGCTAGGTACCTCACTACTTGGAGGACAAGAGAGCTTTTGGCTCCTGCCCCTAGTTTCAGCTACGCCCTTTCTAGCGAGTGCCTGGCTTGGCTTGAGGATGAGGCACAAACCAGGCCCACTTTAGCATCAAGAGCTTTCACGAGCACGAGAGGGGGACGCAGGAGCACCTGACTCATCTATGCCCCTAGTTTATTGCTTTGATCTTTCTTTTCAAGTTTTATGAATGCAATAAAAGCAACTTTGATTTGAATCGAGAGTTGGAGAACTTTGTATTGAAATCAATGAAATTAAAGTTGTGAGCACTGAAAATTTTCCTTTTGATCCAAAATGGTCTAAGTTGTAAAAGGTAAAATTTGAGCAAAAATCAACTTTTATCAAAACTTTTCAAAACCATTTTCGATAAGGATCACCACTTAACACGCACGGAATTTATCCTCGAGATGTACAACCCTGAATCCAAAGATAACAAATTGTCCTTTGACTGAATAACACTGCGCAACACTGTAACCAGCTCTTATCTTAAGGTAGAGATCACAACCGAACTTTCAGATAAAGAACAGACAAAGATGACCTGATCAAACACATGGATAGGACAATTGAGTTGGAGGTGTTTACGGATGAACTTTAGGATGAAGTTGCCTACGTATCCCGAAGATGGGAATCAGACCTTACGTAGTTCGGTGCGGGTTCACTTGAGTATTAATGCTCTCTTTTTGTGCTGTAACTTTTGTCAAGGCCGCCCTTTAGGGTTTTCAACCTTGCGAGCTTAGTTTTTCTTTATTTATAATTTTTTGTGCTCTAACTTTTGCCTAGGTCACCCTTCTAGGTTTTCGGCCTCGCGAGCCTCTCAGGGATAGTATTTCTTCAACTTGTCCATGTTAATCGGTCAGGAAAATTCTAGGCCATCCAAGTCCATAAGAATAACAGCTCCACTCGACCAGATAGTTTTGATGATGTAAGGACCAGTCCAATTGGGTCTAAAATTGCCCCTAGGGTCATGGATGGGAGCTCGGTTGTCTTTCAGCACCAAATCCCCTTCTTTGATATTCCGGGACTTAACTTTCTTGTTAAAAACGCTGGCAATCCTACCTTGATAGCCCTAAACATGGTACAATGCTTTCAGCCTTCTTTCATCAAACAACATCAGTTCTTCGAACCTACTATGTTGCCAGTCTGCCTCTGCTATTTGACATTCGGCCATAACCCGCAGCGACAGAACTTTTACTTCAATTGCAGAACAACTTCCATCCCATAAACAAGAGAGTAAGGAGTTGTCCATGTAGACGTCCAGATTGAAGTTCAATAGCCCCAGAGTGTGAATGACAATTTGTCTGGCCAGTCCCTGTAGGTCTCAACCATTTTCTGCAAAATATGCTTGATGTTCTTTTTGGCAGCCTCAACAGCTCCGTTGGTTTGTGGCCTATATGTAGATGACTTGTGAAATGCCACATTGTATTTCTCCAACAAGTTAATCACTTCTTTCTTGGAATGGGAGCCATTATCTGAAATGATCTCGTTTGGGACTCCATAATGACAAATGATGTTGTTTCGGATGAACTTAACCACATGTGCTGCTTTCAACACTACGTAGGACTGAGCTTCCACCCACTTCGTGAAGTAATCAATTGCCACCAGAATGTACTTATGCCCATTTGACCCTTTCGGTGTGACTGTACCAATGACATCGATTCCCCAGACTGAGAAAGGCTATGGTGAAGTCATGTTGTACAATTTGGACAGTAGGATGTTCATGCGATTGGCATGAATTTGGCATTTGTGGTATCGCCGAACAAAACCGATACAATCCTCCTCCATAGTAGACCAGTAGTAACCTTGCTTGAGAATCTTCCGGGCTAACATTACTCCGTTCATGTGCACTCCGCACTCTTCCCCATGGATGGCCTTTATTAGGCGCTTTGATTTCTCTACGTTGACACACAACTTGTGCATTCCCAGATGGCCTCTGTTATACAGTTTACCTCCGTAGATGATAAATTGAACGGCCATTTGCCGTATTGCCCTTTTGTCTTTGGCATTTGACCCTGGTGGATAAACCTCCTTTTCCAAGAAGTTCCAGATATCATAATACCAAGGCCCCATTTGTTTTCAGAGGTAGAATAGAGGGGATTGATAGTGAGGGAATTGTTAGTGAGGGGTTTAAGTAAAATTGTGTTTGTTTTGATGATAGTTGTTAATGTAGGGATTGCTAAATTATTTTTATATAAAATAATAAAACGAATAAAAAAATACAAAAACATTAAACATTAATGTTTTAAAAAAATGCTTAACATGTAAAAAAAAATTTTAAAAATAAAAATAAAATAAAGAAATTTCAAAAAAAAAATAAAACAAATAAAATAATGATTTTTACTTAACAAAAAATACAAAAAAATTAAACATTAATGTTCAAAAAAAATGTCCGATGTGTAAAAAATAAAATTAAAAATTAAAAAAAATAAAAAATTTCTAGTCCGCCGAACTATTTTCCTAATACCAAGTCCTGAAGGCCAATCTGAATCCCCTTGGGGAGACCTCTCCTAATCCGGACTCATTATCAATCCCCTCCCCATCTCTCAAAATAAACACAATATTAGTGGGTCCCACCTCACTACCAATCTCAATCCCTTCTCTACCTCTCCAAACAAACGGGGCCCAAGGGTTTTGATCTTGCGTTTCATCTATTGCGGTGATAGACTCGTAGGTCGGTGTATACCTCTGCTTAATAATGATCGAACGCATTTGGACTCCAAGAGGGATGTCTATCATGGATGATAGAGTTGATAAAGCATCGAGGAACCTGTTGTTCTCTCTTGGTAGATGTGTGAAGGTCAGCTTTTCAAACCTAGGAATCAGAACGTCCAGGGTTTGGTGATAAATCTTCATCTTTTCTTCTTTGACCTTCCAATCTCCTTTTGCTTGAGACATAACAAGGTTCGAGTCCCCAATGACGTCCAACCTTTTTACCACTAGTTCCAGGGCGGCTTTGAAACCAGCGATACATACCTCATACTCTGCTTCATTGTTAGATACCTTGAACCGGAGTTTGAAGGCTAAGGGTATATACGAATCGTCAAGTGCTATCAGCAACACCCCTATCCCATAACCATATTGATTGGACGCTCCATCAAAGTACATTGTCCAAATCATTTCTTCGACTTGCAGAATAGCTTCATCTAGGAACATGTATTCTACCGCTTCATCCCCTTCTACTAGGTGATCCGCCAGGAACTTCGCTACCGCTCTCCCCTTGACAGACTTGCGAGTAACATACTTTAGATCAAATTCGGAGAGAAGAAGCAGCCAACGAGCTAGTCCACCCATAAGCGCT